GGTGCGTTGAATTGCAATTACTCGATTATTAATATTTTCCGTGGAAATATGAAAATTAATATTTTATTATGCTTTCTTGTACCGTATTAATTATACAGAGTGTCTCGCGAACTCTGTCTATCTCAAATATCTCCATTATTTCCAGCAATTAAGCAATCTTTTTTCACAGATAGAGGCGTGCTAAATTTTATTATTTTTTTAAATAGAAAAATGAGATAGAATAGTGAATTTTGAGTAGAAAGTCGTCTAAAACTCGTCGTCCCTTTTTTTTACAAATTATAATTTTCCCCACATTGAAAGAAGAACGGGAATAATTTGAAAATTTTTATTGTTCTTCTTCCAAATTCTTGGGACGCGTTTAATATAACGCTTGTAAGAAAGCAGGATACAAATACATAGGATATCAAGTATGTAACAATTCATTGGTTATTATATTGCAAGGAATAATAGTAAATTTTTGCTACATAGGAGGAAACAGAGATCTAAAAGATTTGTCTACATTAGTAAGTCATTTTAAAGAGAGATCACTGCTAGAGAGACTTGTTAATGTCCTTGGCTCACTTTCCGGAAACCTTCCTTTTAATGAAGTCTTATTGCAGTACATGTGTAAGTTGGAGAAAAGAGGAGTTGAAAGATAGAAATTCAAGTACTTTCTTAATGAGCTTGTAAAACTTTACTTTGTCTCGTATAACTTATGTATCGAATATAAAAGTTTACTTTTCACGTGATAAACTCTATTAGGATTTTATTAATCGCGAAACTCTCGAATTTTTATTAAATCTACGAATTTGTACAATCACAACCAAATTTTACCATCTCATTTAAAAATGTAGTCCTTATTTTTTGAAGAACTGTATTCGACTAATTAACGTGTTTACTGAAAACATTTAACAAAAAGCTATTTATTCTTTTTCTTTTTGAAATGGCAAATATTTTTCACATTTATCGAATAGTAAAGCAAATATCAATCTCTGTTGGAGATCACCTTGTTGCTGTTCTCTTTACTGAATAAACAAAACTCACAGTAAAATGGTTAACAGGAGTCCATGGTAAATAAAGTTTTACGTTGTTTACTTAAAACAGCAAAAAAAAAAAAAGAAGGAAAATAGAGTCTAAACGCGATAAAATTTATTACGAATAAAATAATTGTTTAATTCTTCCTTTCCTCCGAAAGGAGAAGAGAAACGTGAAAAGTGAAGCAGAAGAGTATCTTCCGACGTTCGTGTCTTTCCCAGCCGAGCAGCTGGAACAGAAGTGAGGAATGAGGGATTTGATCGGAGCTTAAATAACCTCTCTTCCCCACTGTACCGAAACAGTTCTGGTGAGGATCTCCCTGTTTATATCACACCCTCGCTGCGAGGGGTGGCGGCGGAATACAGTGAATGGAGGGACGCAAGGGGAATAAGTTAAATTTTCAGTGCATTTTTATGTACACATAAGCATGGTACCTTTTGATCTTTTATTTTTACGTGCGTCAGATATTTGTAAGTGTGAAGTGTCCACTGAAAGTGTCGAGCGTCAGACCGAGTTCCAAAATAATTTACAAATTGAAATTCAATTACGTTGTTTTGAAATTTACCGAAAATATAGATCTTTAGACTGAATTTCAAAGCAATTTACTAATTAGCTCCGGTAAATTAAAATTCAGTTAAACGACTTTTAAATTTACCGAAAATACAGATCTTTAGACTGAATTTCAAAATAATGTACAAAGTAGGTGGAGTAAATTAAAATTCAACGAAATGACTTAAATTTATCGAAAATACAGATCCTTAGACTGAATTTTAAAATAATTACAAATTAGCTGCGGCAAATTAAAATTCGGTTAAATGACTTTTAAATTGCCGGACAATACAGGTCTATACGCTGAATTTCAAAATAATTTAGAAATTAAGTAGAGTAAAT